TAAATAAACCAGAGTGCACAACGTGATTGGGTGGTAACCCTTATTACAAAATATGAAGTTCAGAGTATAATGCAAAAAGATAAAAGTTGTCTCATCCGTAAATGATGATTATTTAATACATAAGCAACTTACTTTGACTTAAGGACAGTCAACTACTTCCACTAGAACCTCGTACTCCCACAAGATCAATCTTTACGTCCTGGAGGGGTGAAAAACAAAGGTGAATGGGCCTAAAAAATAAAGTTTTCTAAAACCTTTTTGAAAATGTGTAACCCCTCGTTGTAAAACAAGTATATAATTTCCCAAAGTAATAATATAATAATAGGTAGTAGGGAACCCTGCAGCATAAATGAGTTAAAGGATATAGGGTGCTACTACGAAATATCTTATCATCAAAACTCAAATAGCTATCATAAAATCGTAAATCCTGAAAATCATTAAAAATTCATTGCTATGAAAATCACTACTCATTATCTATGTAGGCACACAAGTCATACAGAAAGTCGCTGCATGAACAGGTTGGGTGTAGGTTTTACGTTATAGTACTACATCACGTGAAGTTGGCGCTACGCGCATCACATACAAGTCCAAACAACAAACCTAGGGATAGGCTGGCACCTAACTCTGGATCTAAAGCGAACATAAACGGTGCATGTGAACATACGTGAAGCTAGTCCTTGGCCCAGGATAGTACAACTAACTAATAAACACCATGTAGACATGTTACAATGAGCAGGTATAATGAATAAAGATGTCATGCCACATTTTATACTCGTAGTTAATAAAAACATAAAGTGTAGAAAATCTAGTAAGAAGATAAACATGGCATGTCACATCAATTATGTAAAGAAACAGTTATGTAAAAAATCATATATATATATATATATATATATATATTTAAAACCGAAAGACCCACTCACTGGTCCCAACCTATTCTGCCCGCGGTACTTCTCTTCTATATGGAAAATTACTATACTAATCATTAAACTAATAATAATTGATACAAAACACCTAATTTCCCCTTAGTTTGCTCAAAAATAGAATTTGGAGACAATTGGTACTGAATTTGGAAAAACAGAGTGCGAAAATGGAATCAGCGCGTCGAAATTAGCTTGGGAGGCTTCCAAGAAAATTTCAAAAAAGTAAACTAACAGTCAACAATTAACTTTAACGGAATATTCTCTTCTCATAAGGAATATTTTGTTAAAGTTCATTATGAGTTAACAACATATTCCAAATGGAATATTCTCTCCAATTTCAGAAATGGGCATGGGCTGGAACAAAGGCCCAAAGGTTTGGGGCAGGTTTGGGCTTAGGCGTTTTTTTTTTTAGAAAAAGGATCTGGGCAAGTTTCGCGGATCCGGGTTAGGGTTAGCGGGTCATGGGTTTTGGGCTAGTTTATGGATAGGGTTTTGGGCTTTTTTTTATTTTTTTTATTTTTTTGGTTTGTTGCAGATTTTCGTAGGAAAATCTGGGTAAGATTCAAACGCTCCGTTCGGAGCCATTTTGCAACCAAATTTTACCCATAAAATATCAAAACAAAGCTTAGGACGAGAGGAATAACATTATACCTATTTAAAGGCCAAAAGTTGGTCAGAGACCATTGGAAAATGTCTTGAAAGTGATGGCCCGAGTTCGAGTTCTTTGTTTTCGTCAGTTCCGAAGTAGATTTGGGCATGCAAGCTCAAACCCGTGGCCTAGAGATAGTGGGAAGTCGTCCTACAGCTTCAAACTCAACCACAACAACAAGGTTTCGTCGGGTTTAGCTTGGAATAACCTACAACTCGGCATAAAACATGATGGGTTAGAAAACACTTCGAAACGCGGGGAAACTTGCATGCGTGCTAGTAAACTACACAAAAAAACTTAAGAACACAAAGATAGTGATAGAAACATCACCTAGGGTTTGAGAGCTAGAAAAGAGAGAGAGAGAGAGAGAGAGAGAGAGAGAGAGAGAGAGAGAGAGAGAGAGAGAGAGAGAGAGAGAGAGAGAAAGAAAACCGGCTAAGTGGGGAGGGGGGAGAGGGAGGAATTCCCATCAGAAACAAGTGCAGGCTTTTACACTGCACGAATACGGATTTCTTGTCCCAAAAAAAGAACCCATGCAGTGGTGCACGTTGCACAAGGAGAAAATTCAAGTTTTTAATTTGTATAAGGTATTTTTACACAATTTCGAACATATTATAACTCCAAATTGAATGCTGTTTGCGGCCACGTGTTCGTAAAAATAAGTATTGTTCAGAATTAGTAAAAGAAGTGTGGGAAAGTGAAAGGAAAATTGAGGTCCACGTGAAAAGCTTACGTGGCATCTTAGTGACATTTTAGAATTTCATTGCTACTAGAAATAAAATACATTAAATTTCAGGACGAAATGTCATAGGACAACCTAAATAGAAGGTAGAGTTTAAGAGTTGAATTGCTAATTGATTTGTTTAGATATAGTATTTGGTAATTCTAAATATGGTAAAAATTTGAAGTAATAAAATTGTAAGCATATTGTACATAATTAATGTTCAGGGGTTAGGAATTTTAGTGACCATAATGGTCAATTACAAGCACGTTGTACATAATAAGTTTTTACGAAATATTTAAACATAACTTTATGAAAAAAAAATATGAAGTCCACAAGGGTCAGTTGACCACTGTTAGCCTATATTGGATCCGCCCGTAGGTTAAACCATCTTCAACCCAAAAGTTTTGAACCCAAATTTATACTCCCTAATACACCAGTTCATCTATACCCAAGTCATACAAAAAAAATTCATCCAACCATGCAATCTCAAAATTTAATTCGACAGGCTTGTTCATTGTTACAACTTGAGGTTAACTTCATTTTTTTGTGTACTACTTGTTTTATTTTTCAGAAATTTTAACTTAAAAAGTTTAAATTCGAAGAAATTATACGGACCAGATAAAAATTATTTCATTAATGACAACTATAAGTACAAGCAACTATCTTGAAAATAAAACGAGTACAAGGAAAACTTAAACTCAGTCAAATTGGCTAAAGCAATTTACTCAAACAATTTCATATCCTGTTGGTATAAGGAGGATGTATAGTTCATACAAGATCCATGTGTTGATGTGGGGCATGATCTAATTAGGGGTGTTTCAATCGTCAAGATGATTACGCAATGAAGCTGACGACATATGGAATATGTAAGTTGGAGGCAAAGCTCATTGGAAAGTAAGTTTATGTAATGACATAGTCAAAGAGTTGTCCACCAAACTTCTACTCGTCACCATCCTCAACAAACGCAGTCACATCTGCCGGAGAAATTTCAAAGTACCATGTAAATGTGCGTGTTCTGACATGATATATGATTGTGCGATACACCTATACGTTAAAGGCACACCATTTTCCTTAAAATTTAAAACTCGGTCTTCGTCAACAAAACAAAGTATTATGGAGGCGCATTGGACTAGGATGGCCAATACTGGTGATAAGAAACTCTGTTTTAAAAAGTGGTAACCATTTCTAAGACATGACACATGCCATGAACCGTACAAGAATAACAACTAACATGAACAGATTCATCGTTGCGTATGGTTTTGATTTAATAGCATATTATTATGTGTTGAGAAACTTACATACATATTATTGTTTTAATGAAACTGACTGTCACAATTACTGTAAATTCGTTATGTGTAAGTCATACTCCTAATGCAAAGAAAATGAGTCACGAACATTCAGTTTACAACTACAAGAGGTAATTGAATAAGCCAATCGAGATTTGGAATTTTATGATGAAAATGCTTTGGTTTGTACGTGATTCTCTACTCGTCATCTTAGCTTTATGTTTGGGTTTCTAACAAACGTAATTTTGAGATTGGTCACTTGATGAGTTTATACTCATATTCAACGTCACGTCTTTTCTAAAATTGATGTCTTTTGCAATTGTGATTAAGCATTATCTTTTTGCGTGTTAATAGAATGTGATAGGATCATGATGTAAAGATGGAGTAGCGTTAGAAGCGTGAACAAGATGATAATTTTACTTTAACTGCTAGATTAGATTTGCCCAACATTATTTTACTCATAGAAACTTCTATCACATCCCCCGCCAATTTCCATTCAATGTTTACATAAAGAATAAGCAATTTACTTTTCAATTTATATAATACTATAGCCTCTTGTTTGTTTTATTCTTTATTTTTTGTTGAATATTTTATTTTATTTTGAATAATAATCTACAATTGATTATAATTTAAAATAATTAAGAAAGTGACACCTTTGAGATTATGAAAGCTTCACCCAACAAAGCAAAAAGAGTTTGGATTTTCTTAACAAATCATGAAGATTCAATTACAAGCATGACTCAAAATAACTCTCTACCCACGCAACATGCCATAATTGGATTTCCTCCACAAAATGTTGCAAGTTTCCAACTCTTATCACCGCGCAATAAGTTAAGTTAGGAGAGGTGTGAACGTGCCTATCAACGTAAATGAAAATATTATCGCTTAGTTTATCCACCTGAGAACTAGTAAATAAAGAATGGGGCATACATGTACAGTGTGAGCATGTTTATATGCATCAACCGTGCTTAAGAATTTCTCAATGCTATTTTCGAGAAATAAAACAGAGATACATCCCTATTTCCAAAAAAAAATTAGCCCTACAATAAGGGGAAAATTTTCATTGTGACTGGAATACGAATGGTACACCATGTGTTTTTATATAAGTAATGGAAAATTTTATTTGATCACACTAAAATCTCTCCGCAATAAGTTGAAAGAATGAATTACTTGGAAAAGTTTCTTTGTGGATGTAAGAGGCATGAGCTTGTTAGTTGCATGGAAATTTCTCTCCTCAAAAATCTCAAAAAATCAGAAAAATGCGCAAAGTCAACTAAGAAACCAAATTACACTTCTCCCTATTTCCGCGCGTATTTATTTCATGGTCTAATTTTCAATTCCACAGAAGAAACCACGTGGCTGTTGCTCTCTCCTTTCTCACACACTTCCCTCAACACTCCGTTCCTATATATAACCCCACCCACACCGATTTCTTCTCGACGGCTCTTACAATTCCCCTAACCTAACACAACCAATTCATCCACCATGGCAGCCAATTCCCGGACGCTCGAGATCACGGTCATCTCCGCCGAGAATCTGAAATTAGATCGAAAACCCATCAAGAAAAACTCCTCTGTGACCGTCCGGACCGACACCAACTGTCAGTTTCGCACCACGGATATGGACACCGATGGCGGCTCCTACCCTCGATGGAACGAGAAGCTCGTGCTCGATTTGCCAGAGCACTCGAGGTACCTCACGGTGGAGGTCCAATGCAAGACGTCGTACGCGGTCAGGACGGTCGGGACGGCGACGATTCCGGCGTCGGATTTTGTAGGTGGGTACGTGCCGGAGGGTTACCTGCATTTTTTGAGTTACAGGCTGAGGGATCACAGGGGGGAGAGGAATGGGATTATTAATATTTCTGTGAGAATGAAGGTTCCGGAGATGTATGCTTGCTCAAGTTCAACGACGTCGTCTCACTCGAGAATGGGGTTTCCGGGGGCTGAGAACAATAATTTTGGTGGCGGCGTTGCGACAGGAGTTCCGGTTTGGTATGGTGCTTACCAGAAAAAACATTATTGAAGATCCACCTGCAGAAGGAACAAGAGCAAAATACAAGAAAATTATAGCTTCTTTTTCTTTTGGGTTCTGCTCACGAATTTTTGTACGTAAATATCGGGTGCATTTTTGCTCATCATCAATGAGTTTAAATTTTTAGATTTTGTGTATATTAACTACACGGACCTTTAAATTTAAAATCATTCAAAGGAAGTGAGCATCATCATCACTTGAGAGTGATGAGAACAAATACTCCCGTAAATGTTAGAGGATTTAGACTCTTGGTTAAGGAGAATGCCAAATCAATGACTAATGTGTTCTTGAACAAAATTTTATGCCCACTTTTTTATGGTAATCTTTATGTTACAATTGAATTCATTGTTACAAATTACAATACTTGATTGTTTTTGTTTTGATTAAAGAGTCCCTTGATTAAAAGAGTACGTAGAATTCCCACTATAATCTTAATCTTGCAGTCTAATACCTAAACACGCCGGAATTAGATTGATCTCATACCCGTTCTCTCTCTCCTATATTTTTCTAACTTCTCTTTAGTCTAAGTAAACATTCGTTCGTGGTAGTATGAAATTTTATTTGGAACATGTTGGAAAATTAAGTTGTGTTTTATATTCTATTTGAATCCAACTTTTTTAATTGAAACATACTTTTTAAGTTTTAGGCTTTAAAAACTTGTTTGGTTGAATTATTTTAAAAAACTGATCTCGAGACTAACTTAAAAAAAAAAGACCTATTCACTAAAAACACCAATTTAAGTTTTATGATTTAAAACAATTATAAATTTCATACCAAACAAAGTTTGTGAGTCTTAAAAAAAAATCAAGAGATGTTCTTAAAAAAATGTTTTGAGAAATTATGAAATTTTTTTAATAGGATACCAGGCCAAAAGAATATTTGCTAAACTGCTTAGCCGAACAAACCAAAGCAAACTAGTCATTAATGAATTGATTTGTTTTGGTGGTATTTCTCTCCAAAATTGTTGAAAGATGTTTTAAGTTCGAAAATTATCTCTTCCAAATAATGAAATATTAAAAAATAAAATAACTAAAAGGGTGATATTTTATAAGAAGGAGGATTCTCTCTCCTCCTAATCTCTCTCCCCTTCTCTTATTTGAACGGTCATGGTTAAGCCACGTCAACATTTTATATTATTTTTTTATATAGAGATAATAAAACAAAAAGCAATGTGTGAGAGGAGAAGAGAGAAGTGAATGAAAATAGAAGGGTAGAAAATTAGGAAAACTAATGAAAATGACTTGAAAACTTTGAGTTTTAATGATAAGGACAAAATAAAAGGTAAAGTGAATAGTACCAGGATTGACTTTTTAGTGTAAAAATATGATTTTTCGTTAAAGTGAATAGTACCGGGTGCTTTTCGTTAAAGTTCCCTAAAAAATTACTTCATTTTATATACATGATATGACAGATGATCGTTGGATTTCTTCTTTAAATTATTAAAAAAAAGTCTTAACAATTAAGAGTCACATCATGCAATTTACAACATGTAACAAAAAAATGGTATTCCTAGCATCATTCGAAATAAACAATTATTGCGATCAAGTTAAGTGGGACCTTATCTCAGCCAGCGGCCAGCTGCCAGCGGTAACAGCTTGGACCACGTCCTCTTCTCCCCTTCCTTCTAGATGTCCTCCAGATTCTTCCTTTCTACATGCATTTCTAATGCTACACCGTTCAAGTGGATGCCGTGCAGGCTGCTCCTCAATGGCTGCCTATGAACATCACCTGTTTCCAGACGAGAAAAATGAAAAGCCTTCATAACATACAGTATTTCACATCAAATAATTCACCGATTCTCCAAAACTGAAGCCACAAGCTTGTCCATGCTCGCTCGCTGGTTTTTTAAAAAGAATCCAAAGCCAGGACAACTACAATTGTTGAATATATCATTCTAGCTCAACAATAGTTAGTTAGACAGTTGAGAATGTGGCTATATAAACTGTTGTCTCATAGTTGTAAATATTCATTCAATCAATACAATTCCTATTCTCTCTAAACACTCTCTCTCTCTAGAATCTCTCTTGTTTCTCTCTGCCTTCTTCCTCTTTCTCTGTACAAATCCTTCATCTTTGCAATGTAGTTAACATGGTATCAGAGCCACCAGGCTTACGCCTTGGATTCTGGTGGTTCCGGTTTTCATTAGTTTTCATCGTTTTCTAGTTTTTTTTTTATTTTCTACTCAGATTTTTCATAGAAATTTTGTCAAAGTTCTTCGGTGCTTCCGCGATTGTCCTGTCACTTCTTGGTTGATTTTTCGTCTGGGCTATGAAAAAAAAAAAAATTGTCGGTAATATCTAGGTTTTTCATCTTCCATGCGTAGTCGGTGATTTCAGAAATAAAGTGCATCTGGGTTTTCCTCAGAATTTGGTGCTGCTTCGTCGGAGTTCGGATTTTCCTCAGGATATGGTTCTGCAACCTCGTGCATGGATCTTGATCCTTCAGGTCAAAATAGAAGTGCTAGGTTTGCTGGGTGCAAGCCATTGGTGGGTTCGAAGCATGTTCTCCCTCAGGAGATGCAATTTTAATTACCAAATATGATCTGGAAGGGTACCATGGAACTTACGACGACACTGCTCGGGTTCCATGCCTTTTCGCAATGTGAGCAGAAATGTCTCACTCTCTACTCTTTCTGCAGATTTTGGTATGGTTCTCTGCTTCTTCCTTTCATAATGTTTCACTGAACTTGCACTGGATTTGGGTATGGTTATTGAAGTTCTTGGAGTCTAGTTGTTGTTCAAGATTGAAGTTCTTATCAGGTTCTTGATTTCTGGTTTTCACAGTGCACATAATCTATTTGATTAAATGTTTCAGTAAGAAAATGTTTGATTTCTGATCGAAACAGAGGTGAATATCTTCGTTCATATCTTCTCTAGTTGGGGTACAGATTCAAGGTTCGCAGAATGTCAGGTTCCTTTATCTTGCACTCTATGTGTTTGATGGAATGTCGCAGTCAAAGTTCTTTGCTTCAAATTGCATAATTGTTAGAGGCCGATAGCCATAAGTGTTGAAATCATGAAAATTGTAGATAAATGAGGTGTTTGTTGGGATAGAGAGGCCGATAGCCATTTCCCTTTTATGACTCACTTCAGAAAGGTCGATAGCCAGAAGTGTGTGTAAGTTGTTTGTTTCCTCCACAAGGCCGATAGCCGGAGTGAAAAGTTATGTTTCAAATATTGTGTGTTACTCCTTAAAGGCCGATAGCCGGAGTAACGTTCTTGAATAGTTTTTGTTTGTCGTTATTGTGTGCAACTCCATTAAGGCCGATTGCCGGAGTGCAGTTCTTGTTCCCTTTTTTCATTAAAGGCCGATTGCCGAAGAGGGTTGTGTTTCTTGATTTATGTGATTGTAAAGCTTGTTATTTGATGATTGTGGATGCTGCTGAAGCATAGATTGTGTTGACTGATGAATGGGAGATTGTTGATTCTGTTGAAGACTAGATGAATGTGATTTCACCATAGAAGTGGAGATTGGACAAGTTTTGGGATATATCCTTGCTGCTGCCACGGCTGTTGTGGAACTATCTGCTGCCACAGTTGGATATGATATGACAGATGTAAACCTGAACCAGTTGGTTGAAAGGGTATTTATAGCTACAGCGGTGAATCAGTTTGAGGGGCTGGAATTCTTTGGGAAGTTGATTGATGAGTATGAAATAACACTGCTCTTGAGTAATTTTTCAATGCTTGCAGCCATGGAGGATTAATTGATGATGGCAGCAGGGCTAGGAGTACATCGACAAGAAGGATTTCATTGTTCTGCAGCATTCATTCAATCTCAACCTGGGGATCCCAGTTGAGATTGAGGGGGGATGTTGAATATATCATTCTAGCTCAACAATAGTTAGTTAGACAGTTGAGAATGTGGCTATATAAACTGTTGTCTCATAGTTGTAAATATTCATTCAATCAATACAATTCCTATTCTCTCTAAACACTCTCTCTCTCTCTAGAATCTCTCTTGTTTCTCTCTGCCTTCTTCCTCTTTCTCTGTACAAATCCTTCATCTTTGCAATGTAGTTAACAACAACAACCATAAAATATCAAAGATGTAGCAACGCAACCGGAAAAACAATTATACATTGCTCTTGTGTGGGTTCGATCTACACTGATTCCCCACCCACCTAACAACTATATAATCCATTAACGTTGTCGCTTTACTAAAAAAAAAACAATAATAAAATAACAAAAATATCAGTTCCACAACACAATCAACCTTTCTTGGCTACGTAAATCTGTATAGGGCAGACCCGCACCCTATATAGGGGCTTCGACGTCCCATACTTTGTGTTTCATACATCCATCAAATTGATTTTTAGTGAAAGAAAGAAGGCTTATTTATTGATTTAATTCTCTGAACTGACATATTAGTTAACGCACCGTCTTATATAGGCAGATATGTACGCGAAACTAATAAAACTTGAAAATCATACATAAATTGAAATGTGAATAGAAGAGCAATAAAAGTTAGGGCTGGTTTGGTATTGTTGTGGTTTAAAAAAAAGCTGCTGTGAGAATAAGCGGCTGTGCTGTGAGAATATGCGGCTGTGAACTAAATCAGCAGAGTGTTTGGTAAATTTTTTTGTAAAAGTGCTTTTGGAAAAAAAAGCAGTCTGATAGTGAGTCTTTTCATTAAAGGAGCACTGTAGCTCCGTGTGCTTTGAAAAAAAAGCCAGTTTTCCAAAGCTGCAAATAGCAACTTCAACTTTTTCCTTTGATTTCAGCTTATTCTCACAGCAGCTTCCAAAATAAGCCATTTTTTTTTTCAGTTTACCAAACGCCTAAAACCCTCACAGCTTTTTTTCATGGGTGTTTTTTTTTTAATCACCTCACTCCCAAACCACCCCTTAGTATATATCTTGGGAACTTTAATGAAAAGCATCTGGTACTGTTCACTTTAACGAAAAACCACATTTTTACACTAAAACGTCAATCATGGTACTATTCACTTTACCCTTTATTTTGTCCTTATCATTAAAACTCAAAGTTTTCAAGCCCTTTTCATTAGTTTTCCTATATATCTTTGGTCAATCATAGATATGATTATTTACAACCGCACATGATTCGAGTTCTTCAAAGCTACACCATACTTTTCTTCATCTTGGTCATCATTTGTCTTGAAACTTTATATCATTTTCTCTACATAAATCAAAACCCTAGAGCAATTATAGATCATGATATGTCTTGTTTGTAATAAAGTACAAAACAAACCAGCCTTGTTTCCCTTTTATAGGGTCGCAGTTTTGCTGTACCCAATTTAGTCCTTCAAGTCTCATTTCCGTTTGATCAACACGTGTCTTCCTACTTAATGAAGCTTTTTTAACTGCCTGCAAAAAATTGAA